TGTTTATATATAGGAAGGCTGCCATTCTAAAACTAGAAAAGCACAGGGAAAAGTAGGGTATTAATAAAGAGCTTTGGGCCTGTGTTCTGTAGAAGGGTAAATAAAAAGGATAAGAAGGAAAATTCCAATGTTTGGAAATTTTGGTGCTAGCAAAATTTCACAGAATTGAAATTTAGCTTAATTGAAAGTTACATGAAGTTGTTTACAAAAACAGTTAAATGAGCAAATGGATTTGGGGTTTTGTTTTTGCAAACATGACACAATTTCCTTTGCACTYATATCCTTTTATAAAGTAATCTTGAACAAGTGGTTGGGTTTTTTTTATCTTGTTTAATGATGCTTTTTAAGCACTCTTTGTTCATATTCTTTTCAAGATATTCAGAGATCATTGTACACCCAAAAAGCTGAGCTCTGAATGGTGTCATTTGTGTGTCATGTAGATGAATGTCTGGGTGTGATTTTTCTGCTTTGTACATTGTTCTGCCTGTATCACATTGCAAACARTCTGTACTTAAATTCTACTGCTGCAAAATATTAATATGTTGTCCTTTATTTTGTCAAGCCATAAAGATGCAGAAATCTTAATGGACACAAAAGCATAAAAAGGAAGCCATTGTTCAACAAAGTATAGCCTTCATTCATTCTGTAACTCTRTAATAAATGCAAGATGCTGAAAGGAAAGGAGCCAAATATTAGTGTGGTCCTAAGAGACCAAACAAATAATGGAGCTACTTAAATTTGTCATTCTTCTTYTGTGATTACAGTCAAAATTTTAAATGTACACAGATGTTATTTAAGTATAGATTCTGTATTGATAGTTTTGGCGTTTGAGCATTGCTAAATCTCTTTGTAATGTTTATGATAGAACCGTTTTATTTTTTCTTTTTTAAAGGAGTTGTGGATTTTTTAAATTGAAGTCCAGCCAGCTGTCAGTTACCACAGAGTGCAAGGAATCACTGATGTAGTGGAGAGCTGCTGCTGCGTTAGCAGGGTGGTCTTATCTGATCAGTTCTGGGGGAAGGTGCCAGCTTGGAGTCACCCACAGAACTCTGGTGACAGTGACAGTAGCTTCCCTTTCACACAGGCATGTCATGGTTTGTGCTTGATTGGACTAAAATAGGGGTGACAGCAGTTTAAAACCTCTAGCAGCTGTTCTTGCCGAAGGGAGGCCGTGCAAGTTGGTGAATGCAGTGTTTATGTGATGTGAGAAACTTAATATCCACCYGGTTTTCCCCAAATAGACCCCCAGGGGGTGAAAAAATAAAGGAGATCTATGGAAAATGCTGGTCCACCASCATTGGGCAGATTGACATGTTCTTCCTACATCTGTTTCTCTCTGTAGCACTGTTCTTCAGCAGAAACGCTTCCATTCTTGCAGCTTTTGTGCCGTGCAGTGGGTTTATGTGAGGATTAAATCCCACTGAAGACGTCAATGGTGTTCCAGTGCAAAAGCTGGTGTGAGATAAGTCAGGAACCCTCTGTGATTCTCATTGCATGAAGCACAGGAGGTGTAGCTGCTGGCTGGAGAAAGGAAAACATCCTGTGTGTTGGGGTAGATGTGCTCCTTCCCCATCTCCAGGAGCTCCTTCCCCATCTCCAGGAGCTCCTTCCCCATCTCCAGGAGCTCATTCCCATCTCCAGGAGCTCATTCCCCATCTCCAGGAGCTCATTCCTATCTCCAGGAGCTCATTCCCATCTCCAGGAGTTCATTCCCCATCTCCAAGAGCTCATTCCCATCTCCAGGAGTTCATTCCCCATCTCCAGGAGCTCATTCCCCATCTCCAGGAGCTCCTTCCCCATCTCCAGGAGCTCATTCCCCATCTCCAAGAGCTCATTCCCATCTCCAGGAGTTCATTCCCCATCTCCAGGAACTCATTCCCTGTCTCCAGGAGCTTGTTCCCCATCCCCAGCAGTTCAGATGGGAAGGTTCCAGAGGTGAGCTGTGTTTGATCAGTTGTGTCCAGTGTCCAGGCACATCAATGCTGCAGTCAGGTGTTCGGTGAGCACATGGTGAATGGTTTGAACAAAATTCTCCCCGTGGAAGGKGATGCTGCCTGACTTTCATTAGGTACTCATCAATGTGTGAGTTCAAAATGGAAAGCTGACTGTTGTTTCACTTTTCCYGTAGTCTTAAGTCAGGAAGGGGCTTCTGAGGAACATGGGAACATACCTTGTTCTCCACCTTCTTATTAAAAAAACCTCAAACTTAATGTCTTCATCAAATRTTGGATTATTCCAGTTAAGTCTTATTTCTGTTCAGAACTGATGTATTTGCAATATATTCTATGCTGCTGGTTGGGTTATGTTGAAGCCAAAGGCAGTGAAAGATGATCAGGTAATTCTCCCAGTGTATTTTTAGGCTTAGAAATCAGGTTTTTGTGAGTTCATAACTGTCTGAAGTTTGCTGTCATTCACAGCATAAATGAGAAGCTGGTCTTGCAGATAGTGGTAAACCTTCCTTGGGGTTTAGAAACTTTGTACAAAGTACCACACAAAGTGCACTAAAAGTACATAATTAATCACTTCAGCTGCTCCTGCTCTGTACAGCCACAGCTCAAGCTCTCCATTGTTGCCATATCATTTGACTGCATGAAGTCCCGTTATTTCTGATTTAGAGGTCTAAGAGCAATAATTTGATTGTCTCAAACATCTCTTAATGCCTTAACAATGAAAAAAGACCTCCATATTTCCTTCTGAAATGTAACTGCCTGCAGGCACGACTCACTTTTTGTGTCTGACCACTGCTGATAAGGAAGCACATGATCCCTTACAGGGGTTTGCAGCACATCAGTAATCCCCAGAAGTATTTTTGTGCCACATTTTTGGTGTTAGGGTGTTTTTGCAGGAGGAATGAAGCTATATGCCATCACAATTTTTTCCTTATACAATGAAAAATAAATGTCATTATTACATATCATGATTTCRTACTTGTCTCAGAATAATGCAGAATTTTCACAGTTAAGAGGTTTGAAAATGAAATGCTATCTGGTTTCTAGGCTACAACCTAGTATCCCAGGAATCTGCCGAAATCTGGTTTTTTTGGGATGGATGCTATCAATGGATGTTTTGCTCTTAKGTTTCCCTGGGGCTTTTATTTCTCAGGAAAATAAAGAAACTTGCACATTCATAAATGAATTTCATTTAGGTTTCAGGGAAGGAGAAAGATGCCTGCAGTTCTGCCTTTATGGATATGGAAGGTAAAGGAAGAGAGTAAGATTGATGGCATTGTAGGCGACAGTCCCTGCTCTTATAATTTGATGATAAGCTGAATATCTGCAAGGGAACATGCACAGGGAGGAAACTCAAACAACTRTTTTCATGTTTTGGGTATTTCTATTGAGTTTTTAATATGATAAMAATGATGTTTAGGTTTCTTCAAGAGGTAAAAATAAACACATAGGAGTGATGTGGCAGACAAAAAAATCTTTTAATAGTCTTCAGTAGCACCCAACAAACTGCACTACAGTTTAGGTTGTGTGAAGATTTCCATGCTGAATCCAATTTGCAGAATTTTGTCAGCTCTGAAAGTCTGCTTCTGTCTGAAACTTGTCAAGGTGTTTCTCTGCCAAGAGTGTTCTGTCTTTTTCAACTGAAGTGTATCTGGTTTCTTAATTTCTAGGATTTTGTAAGCACTTCCAGAGTATTAGTTGCTATAATACCAGTGGGAACACTGAAGTGATTTTTCTGGCAGAAGGATGCAGCGCGTGTGTGCAAAACGCTGTTGATTTAATGTACGATGAGATATGCTGTATTATCTGTTTAGTTAAAGCACACTTTGTGGTAAAAGCGATTGTAATGCTTATCATAACAGGCGAGGCAGTTGCCCAGGGAGCTGTCCCAGGGAAGGCACCGTGCAGCCTTTGCTGCAGGACTTTGCCAGTGTGTGCTAATCTTGAATTTGGTATTGTGTCTGCTCTTTGTGGGGCTGATCTCTGAGCGACTTTGGGCCATGCTGCAGAGCAGTGCATTGCATGGTGATGTTCCTATGAATGGAGAGGAGGATTAGACCAAAACCCCATTATCTGGCCAGTCCTCAGGAGGTATGGATTGACAGRTCTGCTGCCTTGACTGCAACTGCTTGCCACCCGGAGGAGTGCAAGAATGATTTATGTCAGAGGCTTTTTGTTGGAGAGCTTCCAAAGAAAGCAGTGGGAATGGTGTGGATTACTGTCTTCTGTGTCATTAAAAATAATCTGGGAAACTGATCCCTTCCTTGCCCTGTCCATGAATTCTAGCACCACAATCAGTGGTTTGGGTGTATAATGCTTGCCATGTGCCATTTGAAATGTGTGAACTGTGCAACTCCTTAAATATTTTTTTTTCTTGGGCCACTCAACAATGGTGTAGTTAAGGGAGATAAGGTTTTCCTGATCTGTTTATTTCACTTTGGTTTTGGGTCATAGTGGATGTGATATCAACTCCTYCACAACTACTGGCTGGTGTCCAGACCTGGCCAATGTTAATGGGGAGAGAATTTATTTACACAGCATCTTTTCTTTCATCCTGGAGTTGTACTTTGCAAGAAGTGCCTCTTAGCCACTGTCTTAAGCACTGTGAAACAAAAGCTGCAGTTTCTGTTTGTGTTCAGTTACCTCCCAATTGAGCTGAGGGATGCTTTGGAAGTGTACCCAGCTGAACTGCCCAAATGCAGTGTGAATTCCAAAAACCATCTTAAACAGCACTGCCCTGTGCCCACTGGAGTCTGTGCGAGTCCTTMATGGACTGTCAAGCGTGCATCAAGGTGTGGCTAGGGGGAACAGAATCATCTTTTTTAAGGAAAAYAGTTGTCTGTTGCATGTTGCCTTTATTATGCACAGGCAATAATTAGGTTTTTCTTTGATCACATTACTGCTGAAAGTTGTATTGATTATTATTGCATTCATGTGGCAGATTTCACGTAACTGTTGATGTTCCTGTTCAGGACAATGTTAGTTCTGTGACTGAGATGTCAGTGCCTGCCATTAACCTCTAGTTCTTTCTCTCCCCTGCCCCTTTTTTAGAGGCCTTTGAGTCTTTGCTTCGCTTTGCTGAAAACCGCACAAGTTCCCTGTTTGAGACAGCTTACAGACCTATGGCAAAAGAAGCAGCAGAGCCTGTTAAGGAGCTTTTTACAGACATCTCTCTCTACATTCTGGGCGCAGAGACCACAGTGGAAAGCGCAGTGCTGCGGTTCTTTGACAGTCTCTTTCCTCTGGTGTATAGCCGGCTAATAAACCCCGGAATTACAGATCTGTCAGAGGACTATACAGAGTGTCTGCGGCTTACAAGGCAAGACATAAATCCTTTTGGACACTATTCTAAAAACATGGTTACAGAGCTGTCAAAATCTCTTTGGGCCAGTCGGATGCTGAGCCAGGCCCTGAGTTTGGGCATTGAAGTGATAAATACCACGGAGCACGCGGCTCTGAGCAAGGAGTGCAGCCGAGCCCTGGTGAGGATGCAGTACTGCCCGCACTGCCAGGGCCTGACGCTCATCAGGCCCTGCGCCGGCTATTGTCTGAACGTCATGAGGGGCTGCCTGGCCAGCGTGTCCGAGCTHGATTCACAATGGAGGGACTTTATCTCCACGCTGGAATATCTGACTAATGAAATGGCTGCCTCACACGAGCTGGAAATTGCACTGTCGGGGATCTGGAACTCCGTCAACGAGGCCATCCTGCACGCACAGCTCAACGGACCGCAGCTCTCKGCTACAGTAAGTGCCTTCTAATTATCTGCTACTCCCATTTATCAATTTCYTCRTTTGGTGGATAAATATTTAAACAASTTGGTGTTGTCTTTGCAACAGTWTTTRGCTTTTAAACTGATTTTTCTCTAATAATCCATGAAAWCTTTACTGATAATTATGATGGGGTTCARTAGGGTCTGCTTTGAAATGRAGGCATTGRGGRGATTTGTTTCTTTGGAAACAACCCTATAAAGCACAGAKCTCTGCCTTAACTGCTGAGTTTTCTAAAAATTCTAAAAATTTGGGGTCTATGATACTGGATATCAATCAAGTGCTTCCCTAGCATGTAATTGTAGCATGTGGGGACATTCCACAGTATCAGTTATAAGGGACTAGAAAAGTGAGTTTTTAAATAAAGGCAAAAAACTAGATTTTCACACTTTTACAGTCCCTTTACTTTTGTGTTGACTGAGACATCAGGAAGGTAGTACAGGTCTATAATAAGTACACCTATCATAGAGAAGTTGGGAAAAGAGCATGAAAAAATTCAAACTTATTTGGCAGCATTTGCATAAGTAAAAGATAAAAATACACTTGAAGTGGAAACAGCTTTGTGAGTGGCATAGATTAAGGAGGAAAGAACTAGGGTGGTAGAACTGTCATATAAATAATAGCAGCATATGACTGGCAGGTGTTCTCTCAAGGTGTTGAAGATTAGACTGGAAATTATTGAAATGACTAATGATGGAGCTGAATACATCTGTATGAAGTTAACACAACTGTCAGTGGGAAAAGGTAGCAGCGTGGCCTTAACTAGGGTATAAAGAGTAATCTAAAAAATGCAGATAGATCTGCCTGTCTTGAAAGTAAAGGAATTCTTGGAGGCAACAAATAAGAAGGAAATGTACAAATTTTAATGTGTAATTTCTGTGTAGAGCTTTGGCCATCACATTTTGAAATGAGAAAAATAATCTAGGTCTACGTAAGAAGTTGTGGAGAGTCTATTCTAAACTGAGGAAGTTTTTTAATAGGAGAAAAGTGCTTCTATGTTTACAACCTTTCAAAATCTCTAATATTGCAGCTCCCTTCACTGTAGAACAGYTGACTGAGCCAGACTTACAGTTAGCATAATATGTAGATTATAAAAAAAAACCCAACCTCTTGTTGTAATCTGATAAAATGTCACTTGGTATTTCTAGTTAAAACTCACTTCATGCTGCCTCAGTTTCTTTTTCCTTTTCATGAATGACAAACTTGCTGGTTTATCTGACATTCAAAGATAAACATGAAAGATCTCTTAGAGATTTGTCCAGGTTCTTGAACAGTGGATAGTGGGCACTGGAGCCTGAATGTGCTGCAAGTCTGTAGTGGGCTAAAGTCAGTTGGTGGTGTGACCCCACATAGCAACCTTAAACTTAGAACATATCATGAACAAAGTTCTTGCATGTGCCCCTATTTTCACTCAGAATTTGTTTTTATACAAGCCCAGAAGGGAACCAGAAATCAAAGTGTACCTTTGTTCATTGGTTTTACTTGACTATAGATGCATATCTCTTACATCTTGCAGGGCTTCATTGCTGATTACACAGATAAAATGATAAAACATAACTCTGCATTGCATTCATCAGCCCCATAATTAACATGCACTTGCTTAGCTTAAAGGGTTAAAATTAATGATCCAGGTGAATATTGGATAATTGTGGATTAACTCAATGAGTCTATTGCTTTTAGGTGATTTGGAAGTAGAATTCTCTCTGGAATATCTTTGAGGCTCAGGATTCTCTTTCAGGGTTATTCAGATAATTTTATGTGGGGCCTTCTATGTCCTATAGCAGCACCTTGAAACATTTTCCTTCTTCGATTTGGAATAAATTCAGAAAGTGCTGTTATGTTTGAAATGCCATTAAATTATTTTTTTCCTGAAGTTATCTTTGCTTTCTCTCACTGGCAAAATCTCCATGTACAGAAGAAGGCTGTGTGGTGTTCTAGGGGCTGCTCAGTAGATGGCAAAGGATGTTTTCTGTTTGAAAATAAAAACTGTGTCTCAGTGTATGTTACCCTTGATCCTTTCAGTTGTRTGCACAGTAAGATTCTATTTGGATAACAAAGCATGTTTCACTGTTTGAACAAGCATTAATCTGATACTGGTTTAAAATTTTCCTGATTAGTTACAGAGGATAACCATTATTTAGAAAATTGAGCCTAATTGAGCWGTATTTTCGTCTCTGAAGAAGCGGAAAGGAGTTCAATCCTCAGGTTCAAAATTTCCGGCTGGAGATGGCTTCTGGGAATCCAGGCTCACATTCTCAATTACACTGGGGTCATTTGATTTGTACCCACTGTATTTACTGCTGGTTTTACTTTCAGGATTCTTTTTATTCCCCAGAAAAGATACCTTCTCTTTTCCTTTCCTAAGTATTTGGAGCCCTTTTTCTGTTCGTGCAGTGTGCTCTCCAGCCTCTGCAAAAGTGGAAATGTTCAACTTAGGTACAGTTTCCATTAYAAATGCAGTAATTGGTTTCATTCAATTATAATGGAAAACTCATCCAGGAAAGCAGAGCACTCCTAGTAATCTTCATTTATCCCGAGGCAGCCTTAATTAATGTGCCTGCCCTTTTAGGAAACATTTTACATTTTTAATAGACAATATGGCTAAAAATTAGGGTTCTTTTTTTCCTCTTGTTGCCTGCCTGGATGATAATGAATAATGGAAAGTTAGATTATGTTTTCTTTAAAATGGGGAAGGGGTGAAATAAACCAATAAAGCACTTAGGATACTTTACTCAAATGGGGTGCAGTCAATTGATATTAAATCTAAAAATAAAAATCCTATTTGTATGTGGAGCACATARCTTCAGGAGAGTGGCCTCTGCTGATCTCGTCCATTAGAGCCAAGAGAATTGGTGGATTTGCTGGGATAGCAAGTGTGAAAGGTCACCTTTGAGATATTGGTAATCTCTCCTCAGATTCCTGGGGACGTGCCATGCCATTTGTTCAATGATGCTGGCTTGCATCCAGCTTACTTAGCCTAATGCAGGCCATCCCTGCTCTGCAGCACCAGCAATCATCATCATCATTGCTTTTGTCTGCTCAATCTAATTGTCCTTCCTCCTGGTAGGAGCCCTGCCTGCCTCGTGGTGCCAGCTGCACACGCCAACTTGGTTTACCCTTCCTTCCCATTTTCCTCTTATTTCTTTCTGTTTTTCTTTTACTGGTCTCCTTTTTCATGTGTTCAGTTGCACTAGTGCTGGACAAACTCTGTATTTATGCATCATTATTTTAATTTTCTTTTTATTTTTTTATTCAAAGCGAAAGTAAACTACCCTCAACTAAAATGTGAGGAGGGTCAGTAATGAAATGCATGTGGCACTTCAGGCAGGTGGAGTAACAAACACCCTGCCCACACTCCCCTCAGCCAAATCCCAGTGAGGTGTTCCCATTGCTTGTGTAGGGATAGTGGGGATTTGTTGCTAGTGTTATAATGGCTGAAAAAGCATTTAATGAGGAGAATGTAAAAAGCCAGACCTGATATTTTTAGAATGGCTAACYGTTAGGCAAGAGCAAGGTCCAACATATTGTGTTTTGTGATTATTGGTGTAATAAAAGCAAAAGCTAATAAAAGGCTTGATAGGGATTATAAAACCGAGATATGATCAGAGATTAAGCGTTAAGAGAAAGCAGAAAGATCTGCCTCGAGGCAGTTAATTTCTTGGAGACAAGCTCACCAATTAATGTGATAAAAGTTACATTAAAAAGTGATAGAAGAATAAACTTTGGGAAGAGGAACAGATAGAGGCAGGAGAAATACACGAAGAGAGCGATCTTTAAGATGCAAGCTGCTCAGAATTGCAGGAGTGTCAGGAAGCACAGAAATAGTTGTGATCAAAATCAGATCAAAATCGATGAAAACCTTTCTACAAATTGTGAAGATATCAAAATGGATAATACTGAGAAAAGATCCACTAAATACCATTTGTATTTTAAAGGGATAGGTTTCAGGTTGTAATGAAGGAGACTCTGATGCCTATTTTTGGCAGATCATTTGAGTGTTGTTTCTTAAAAGTTCACGTGGCTCAGAAGAAATGCAAGAAAGGCATGAGAAGGTGAAAACTCATGGCAAGGACTGTTGTCCTTGCTGACAAAGAAAATACAAAGGAGTTGGGCTTTCTGTGCCTGTCCAACCACTTCTGCCGTGATCCTTTGCAGTTAGGGGTGTCATTGGGACTTGGGAGGCAAATTACATAGAATTAACAGCAAATTAGAACTTTGAGGAGTTACAAAAAATAAGAACAGAAAATACATAGAGATAGATGGCTGTTCTTGGTGGCCGGTTGATCAGTCTCCTCCCATCAGTGGGTTTAAATGTTGAATTTAACCAAAACAGATGATCACTGCTGAGAAGCAGCACTTTGGACTGAACAAGCAATCTATATAGGTATTTGCTAGGTTCAGTTTAAGGATAAAAGGTGSGGCATCTGCTTGTGAAAAAATACACTTGGTGTATCCTGGAATTGACTGTGTTAATGCAGTGGGCTTGAGCCGGAATTTTCTGGTATAAATTTTCTGGTAAAAAATCAGCAGTGTATGGAAGGCTCACAGAAAATAACTCAGGTGTCTTAAATTATTAGGGATGCAGAAAAAAAAAATCATGAACAATGAAGAACCCAAGATCTGTTAAATGGTCACCTTTAGGAAAAGAAAAGCTTAGAGGAAAGAATGCCAAATTTGCAGCAGCAGGAGATTGAGGCACAGTAACCTTACAAATTTGAAAAGGAAGTGGCAGTACTATGAACAAAATAACTTTGTGCTGAGTGAGTTCACAGCAACAAAGAGTTTCTGCCAGCCAGTAATGAACTGCTTGATTAATGACATTGAATGGTATCATAAAACACTCCTGCAGACTTTGGAGAACACTCACAGCTGAACTCAGGTGCTTCCTTCCTGCAAGTTTTCCAATTCAAATGATCAACACCAGCTGTCAATAAGTATAAAAACTGTACTTAGCAGAGGTTGAAGCAGTATATTCA